TCCTGTGGCTTTGCCACGGCGAGAAGACGAGTTTTGCAAATCCGTCCTCACTCGCATTCAGAACGGCCGTCCCGGGCGCGTTCTTATCCTGTGGCAGTGCCACCACGAGGAGAAGATTTTTTTTTATTCAAATCCGTCCTCACTCGTTTTATCAGAACGGCCGTCCCGGTTGCGTTCTCTCCTGTGGCTTTGCCACGACGAGGAGACGATTTTTGCAAATCCGTCCTCACTCGCATTCAGAACGGCGTTCAGAAGTCGCGTTCTTATCCTATTTTCCTTGCAAGTGGGTGATTTGCCCTTTTATTACCTATCGGGGATCTCCAAGATTCCAGGTTCGCCGTCCTGTCACGGTCGCCAGAAATGTGAAAATCTGCCGATATTAATTATGGGCATATCACCTACGACGCAGCTTATCAATGTCCACTTACCCGTGCAGCAGCTTGAATCCAAATGACCTTTCACCAACTGTCAGGAAATGTGTATGAAAGGTCATGACCTACCTAGTTATTATCCATCTCATAACCTTTTAACCCCCGGATTTAAGCTTCTTGTAATTATTTATATAAAATATGGTTGCAGGAGGATTCTATCCATAATGTCACTGCCAGCCGGTGGGAGTTAGATTATAAATACACACATCAAAGATCGATAAAACAAGCTTATATCTAGCCTCTAATGCGACGAACACAACAAGAAACGGTTGTGTGGTCAGGTTATTAACTTTAGCGTTAGCGTTGTTATGATATACTTCGTAGATTGGATACTAGCGACACTCACGTCTCGTCTGAAATTCTCAGTTAGACTACTTTCAGGAATAATGCTGGGTTCCAATCTAAACAAGAGTAACAGAAGCATGACTGTTGATATTCCCGGCCACGCCCATCTTTACCATAACTAGGGATATGGAAGGAAATGTTGATGTAGTACTTACTTAACGAGAGGCCACCGACTTAGCGACACCCTCATAAGTGCTACGGAGTTGGAGGGTTGGGTAGGGTATTCGGTTTGGATTCACCTCAAGTTGGCGATGCAACCAAAAGGATGTATTGTTTATTTGTAGTTTATTTAATCTCTCAATACTCGGCTATCGAAAGAACATATTTATTTTGTTTAGTGATCATGAATGTTAAGAGTCATGACGGAGAGCTTGGGATTAAACCCATGATTTTCTGCTCAGTAAGCAGAAACGATCCCTCCAGGGTCATCGAGCATCTCAGAACCATAACGCTTCGCGACAATACAGGACTACGTTTTCGCTTGATATGCAAATAGCTTCCGAGGTTAATGTTCAATATCAAATATACAAATGATGATGGCGATTTATAGTGCTGTGGAAGAGATTGGGGTTGAATCCATGATTTCTGCTCAGTAAGCAAAATCGATCCCTCCACGGTCATCGAGCATCTCATAATCCACAGCGCTTCGCTTAAAAGTACGAATACATGGATAAATTATCTGTTATTGAATAAGTATTATTTACGATAATTACATGAAAGAAATAAAACAACTATAAACAAGCGTCGGACACACAAAACCCGTCAAATCCACTTGCAGCCACAATCAACGATTCTACGAATCGCGAGCGCTCACGAATCATAAAACCGCTGACTGCGACACTCTGAAAGCGAAACTGACAGGCTCTATGCGTCAAACACCCGCCCTCCAATCTCTTCCCGCATCCAACAACACAAATCCCCATTACAACATCTAACGAATTCAAAACTCCGAAAATCACTCATCTATAGCAAGTGAGTGGAAGCAACCCTGCATGCAACCATTCTTCATGATACACTTTTTTTCTGCCTATCTTTCTATTAGGCCTGTGGACATGCGTTAGCTTCGAAACTTCTAACCAAACTAGGAAAATTTTCAGATCACAAAAAAAAACTTTCAAAGGTTATTACAAGTAAAATAAATATTGATTATTTTACGCAAAAACGAGCAAGTAATATTAAATCTAATACGATACAATATGCTAATGCTAATTGACTGTAACAAAAATAATATGCTAAACTATAATAAAATATTCATAAAATTATATGCAAAATTTACTAGAAGATCATTACTTTATTGTTGAGAAGTTTCTAATAAGCCCTCCCAGTTCCTCTGTATACAGAACAAATCTGATACTATAATCAGAATTGCTCAGTCTGCATGAAGCAGCCGATTTGATTTCATCAAGGAAGTTCTATTAACAACCAAGAATTAATCGTTTGAATCGTACCGAAAAGTTCAGCTGTTCAGATTTCGGTAAAAATTACCGAAGTCGGCGATAATTTCTAAGTGTGTTGATTACTGAAAACTTAGCTGTGTGTTAGGATTTAATCTATGAGGAAGAGGTGACAGTTGGCTTCTATCTCTATCTCTATTCAGGGCTGGTAGTGCTGATGTGATAGTAGTGACTTTAGTGACTAAAATTACGGAAATAGTGACCAAATAGTGACTTGTAAATACTGAATAAGAAACTATTTATATGGTTACTTAGAAATTCAAATACAGTTTGATATGTCATGGAGCTTAAAATCAAATATCATAAATTCCTCTAATTTAATCGAATTTCACAACGGAATCTCCTGTGAAGAGCATTTGAAGTGAAAAAAATTTCGCTATGAAAGTTTGACAGATAAAATGAGGGGTTAGTGGATTTTCCTATGTTTCGAGGGGTGAATCGATTAGCTTGGGACCGAAGATAGTACCAGAGCTGAGCCAAAAAGTTGAGGACCTTCTAGTCACACAGGACACATGATTAGTTAAAGCATATTATTTTCGATTTTTAATTGATTCTTCTAGGAACTCCCTGAAGGCTCCTTCCATAAATACATGCTTAGAATTTCCATGCAATTAACCTCAGATATTTCATAAATTTCTGCTTAGAATAATATTGGACTTCTCCCTTGCATTCAATTCGTATTCTCCTCAGAATCCCCATAGTATTTCCTCAGAATTCTCACAACAAACATCCATAACAAACTTTGAAACTCTTCTCAGAATTCCTTTGGGATTGAATCCTCAAAATTCGATTAAATTGGAATTCTTCTCGGAATTTATTTCGAACTCTTTATAATTCTCTTGGAAGTATCGTCACAAATCACCCCAGAATTCTTTTAGAACTATCCGCAGAGACCATCTTTGGAGTTCACGGGATTTTCATGGAAGAGCCCCCTTAAGCAAAATTCCAGAGCTAATTTTGAATTCTTATTAGAATTGGACCTATAATCCTCATCCAATCATCATAGAATTCTTCTCAGAACTCTCAATTATATTAGAATTATTTCCAAAATTGTTTCGTCTCTAATAACTTAAACAATAATCAAACGCAACGCTCGTATGTGTTAAGCCAAGTTTAACTATATAGGTAAACCTGGCTTAATATTTAAGCGGAGAAGAAGAAATCGGTCCTCAGAGCACTTAATTTTACATAAGACTTTCGTAGTCTGTACTTCGGTATTCTTCTCTGATATATCTTGGTGTTATTCCTAGAATTCTTTAAAATTATCTTAAAATTTACTTTGGATTTTTTAAAGTTCTTGATCATCCTTGAAAGACGTTTGAAAATCTATCACAGACAAATACCTTTGGAAAGTTTCCAAGGTTTACAATTTATTTTCTGGTAAAGGTGGTATATTTTCCCCGATTTTTAATCGAAATGATGTTCTAAAGTTTTGCGGTTCACTGGTCACCCTGGTTAAAATTTTCAATTTTTAACAGATATGTACATTTTGTTAAGACTAAGTGCCAAGTACTCAATTTAAACATTTTTTTTTATATTTTTAAATTTCATTTTAATTTAGTAGTGAAAAAGTGACTTTAGTGACTATTTTTAGGGAAATAGTGACTTTAGTGACTTTTTGGTGTAAAAAGTGGCTTTTTAGTGACTGGCTTCAAAATAGTGACCAAGTTACTAAAAAGTGACCTGCTACCAGCCCTGCTATCTTTATCTTACGCACATGAAATCGGCCAATCAGGAGGTGGTTCACGTTTGACAGAAAAGTAGTTCATTTTCGCCCCCGTATTGTCACCTCTTCTCTTAGCATTTAATGCATTATTGAAATTTCAAACTAATTATCTTCGCCCCAAATAAAAAAATAAACGAGAAAATAAATTCAATCAATCGTCTTTTCGTCGAGTTGCGTATGTTTCGGTTAGAGAACACTTAATTTTACATGAAATGTTTGTTTACGTTCCATAATTTACGTCAAAGATGGATTACGTCCATAAAATTAGTTATCTTTAAGTGTGTAGATTTATTGAAAGTAGCTGAATGTTCGGAATTTTTTGTGATTTACAGTTCGAAAACTGTAAACAAATACCGAACAAATACAGAACTGGGAACATTCCCAACTATTTTCAGCAAACAAGATTGATGAAAGAAGCTATTATCTAGCTTCTAATACGACAAACACGACATGAAGCGGTTCTGTATCCAAGTTATTAGCGAAAGAGAAAGTCGATGAAAAGAATCGACCTAATGCTTCGTTCAGTTTGAATTGTTGTTAAGTCTTCTTTTTCGTCTTTCTCGCATTTCAAACTTATTACTTATCGCATATTAGCTTATTGCGTGCTCTCAACTTAGTTTTCTAGATGTACTACCACAGTTATTATTGAGAGCTGGCATCGAACTGTTTTTGCATTAGTACAATCATACTCTATGTTATTTTATTTTTAGATCAGGATTCATTGTGGTAAGTGATGCGATCAGTAAAGTGGGGATATAATGAGGTATAATAAAAAAATGCAAGGAAGAGAACGGGCCTGGGATTGAACTCTCAACCTTCTGCTCAGTAAGCAGAAACAGTAACCACTAACCTACCGAGTCTCGTAAGTGATATTTTTAAATAATTATGTCAAACAAAAACTGAACTTTGGTTCCTTAAAGCTATTCGATTGAGCCTGGACAAATGAACAAAAAATAAAAAAATAAAATAAATAAGGGATAAGAATTCCAAAAAGAAATAACCACTAACGATTGATTTTGTTCGATAAAATGAAGCAATACTCACTTGACGCAATCAGCCACGCCGTTGAATTGCATTTCACCTTCGGCTTTCTTCAGCACTTGAAGTCTAGTTTTGACAACATCAAAAGGATTAACAGACAGTGCAGCTAACGATCCAGCAGCACATCCACTTAAAAACGAGCACCTTTGGGAAAGAAGATTAACATTTTGTTTTTAGTTATGTTTTTTCCTGGATTTCTTTTTCCGTTGATCTGGAACCCCATTAAAAATGGTCAATCCTCAAAACTGATCCTAGAGTTCCACGGTTTTTTTTGGAAAGGATTTGAAACTTTGATATAAGAAATAATTTGGGATCGTGGCATAAACATGGACCCGGATGGCCATGGGGCCGTCCTCTGGTAGGTCTGGAAAATCCGTAAGAGATGTCAATCAATGAAACTGATCCTATGGCTCTGCAGTTTTTTCAAAAAAATTACGAACTGTGATATAACAAATAATTTGGGGTCGTGACATAAACATGTACCTGAATGGCCATGGGTCAACATCCATAAAATGGTCAATCCATAAAACTTGTCCAAGAGTCACACTTTTTTTTTTACACCACGTGGAACTGTGAACCCGGAAGACCATGCTGAGATATATGAATCAATTTTAGGTCGTGACACAAACATGGACTTGAATGGCCATTATACCGCCCTCCGGAAGATCCGGAACATCCTTAAAAGTGGTTCATCCATGAAACTGTGAACACCCCTTGTTTTTTCGAAAACTCTTGGAACTGTGATAAAAGATAGAATTTAAGGTCATGGCATAAACATGAATCCAGATGGCCATGAGACTGTCCTCCGAAAGATCCGGAACATCCATAATTTGGTAAATCTGTGAAACTGATCCTACACGCTTAAACAGGGACCCTGAGTTCGGTAAAAAAAAACTACCGTCTTAGATCGGTAATCCTAAAAATTACAGATGTTTCGGTATTTTCTCACTCTATTGCTGAAAACTGTAAATAAAATTACCGAATTTCAGTGATTTCATTTCAATTCGACGAAAACGGTTAAAAAATTACCGGCAGGTCTGTAAATCAGCTTCATCACTGACTTCGGTGAAATATTTTACTGAAGTTTCGGTAAACAAAGCGTTCCATTACCGAGTTCGGTAGCTTTCACAGCGAGAAACGACAAATCCGCCGTAATGTGTTTTCGAAAAAAAAGTTTGTAAGTGGAAACTGTCATGAAAAACAAAAAGTGAAATGCAACGCCAAAAGACGAGCGAATCGTAGATATTTTCCGTAAGTAATGATATTTCGTTATCTAAATAAACACCCATTGTTACAGGTGGCCGATGTTGTTGCTTGTTTTTTTTCTGTCGGTCGCAAGTTCCAGGCTATGTTACCGGACTGCACCGACATATCAATGACCACATAAAAAAGAGAAATTTTATACCGGCAGCAATTTTCATCATTTCATCATTTCTACAGTTTCATCATTTTTACAGATGTTCCGGATCTTCCGGAGGACGGTCAAATGGCCAACTATGTCCATTTTTATGTCACGATCTCAAATTCTATTTTATATCACAGTTCCAAATGTTTTCAAAAAAAACCGCGGAGCTCTAGGATCAGTTTCTTAGATTGATCAATTTAACATGTGTTCCAGAGGACCGTTCCGTTGTCTCCAGGATCCATATTAAGGGACCATGACTGTATTCTGACTAATTATGAACATGTGTGCCCATTAATCTAAATTAAAGATCTTAAGGCACTTGCAAAACCCATAAACACACCTTTAAAAAAAACGTGTAACGACTCTTTCCACTTAAAAAAAAGTAGACGATCATAAGATTTCTAGAGGTACCTACCACCATTTTTGAAATTCATCAAGAAATGGCTAAGCTATGCCATTGCAAACTTGCCGTTACACGCTTTTCGGAAGCATCGTATTCGGAGTGTTAAGTAAAGAGTATATCTTCTATAACAAGTAAACTTGTATGTTCCTGCTCGCAGCTCTCGACAACGACAGCTTCTGTGGATTCCGAGGCACCGAACAGTTTTCGGTGAAAACCATCCGTTACAAAGATGCCTCAGAAGACTACATGAAGTAAACTATCATTTCGAATATAATGTGACGAGAAATAGGTTTAAGAATCTAGTAAGATGGTTATGTTCTTTTTTTACAAGTATGTACAGCATAGCTGAAGACGTAGACATATGAATTAAAAAACAAATTTGGATTCACGGCATTTTCCCATTTTTTTTCGGGAGAAAAAAATCCAGATTCGATCTCAGTTTCTAGATTTTCCTGGTAGAGTTGCCAGATCCACTACACAGCAAAAAAAAAGTAATATGCCTCAACGTAATGACGCTAACGTATCAAGAAACTAGATGTAATTGTGAGAAATATATGCAAATTAACACCAATTTGATGTAATGTTTTATCGCTCTTCGAATTACACAAAAACAAAACGACTATTTTTCATTCCGTCATATGTGTGTAATATTCACATATAAATAACATAATTATTACACAGAAACAGCTTCACACAGGTCATTCAACAAATAGTTGTGTAATATTACACTAATATTATGCGATATGACAGATAATTACTGCGCGATATTAAATCTCGCAACATTGTCAGGTTTTTCGCACTGATGCGGATCGACCTGACGTTCAAGACGACGAACCACCATTGTTATTCCAGTGTTCGGTTCGGTGACTCAATGGTTGCTCCTTAAAGACGGAGACAAATTTGTAGGTAGCTCCTGAAATACCGGACGACAAAATAATAGTGGAAACGGATAGCCCCTGGTGCAAAATTTGACCATCGCATACTGGTTCAAAGTTTATCCATACAAAATTTCCAGCCATCCAAAAAAGGAGAAATGGTGCAAAGATATGTTTTTTTCTGGATGATGTGAGGCCGCCATGATCAGCAACATCATTAATAAAAAAATTATGGGGTATTAAAATATTTTTCCTATTTGTAGGCAAGTACAAGAAGTGATTATTCCAGTGCTCAGTCCCGTGCCTCATCATTTTTTGTCCTTTGATTTGTTTTCGATGCTGAGCACCAATGCTACCGACACCATCTGTCTTTTGAACATTTTTCTCGTCACTTTTGCCTAAGCAAGGTCGTCAAGGGGAAGCAGACCGCTCCGAAAAAAAATTACGTTTTGATTTTTCTAAAAATATTGAAAAAAAGTATCAAAAATCTAAAAAAATCACATTTTTTCTAATTTTTTAAAGAAAATTCACGTGCAAAAACATGTTTTATAAGTCATTATGGCATAAAGTTGGACTCAAAAAACCACAAAACATCAACTTTTCGGTTTTTCTGAGAGTCCAATTTTTTTTCATGATGGGATAGAAAAAATTTTTTTGCATGTAATTTTTGACAAAAATCTAAGGAAGAAACTGATTTTCTTGGATTTTTGATAATTTTTCCCAATATTTTTAGAAAAATAAAAACGTACCGAAAATATTTTTTTTATTTTTGGGCCGGTGAGCTTCCCCTTAATATCATTTTTTTTTTTTTTTTTAAGTCCCGCCTCTTACCCCTACAAAGGTTTGAGCTGGACGATTTATCTTTAAGATAATTGAATATGACATTTTAACCAGGTTGGCAAACAAAATCGAACTGGTTTCAGTTACAGATATAGATTCCCTCTAAAGTTTACAGTTGCTTCACAGCGATATAAATGTGGAAAAGCTCAGGCGTCCACCTCTTAGTTCGCCTTTTTGTCCACCTAAAATATTCATAAGTATTACAAGCAATCAAGAGTTAATGAACAATCAACAAAGCATCCTATTACACTAGTAACCCCGCAATTTGATGCTATCATAATTTTCAGCAATGTCAGGAATGCTCACGAACCCCCAACATTTGCCAGAAAACTTACTACTAACTCAAAGTATCTTCCAAATAAGCTTCAAAATTGCATTTTTTTTTATCAAATGTTAAATTCAGTCCTCTATATCCGTAATACGCGCGCGAGGCTCAAACCTTTGTAGACTACTTTTTTTTTAATTAATCTACTATAAAATCATATATTAAAATATATTAATCTTGCTCAGTGACTGAGTAAAATTGTATTGCAATTTAATTTTCCCTCGCGGAAATTTCTGTGAGGGAGAAAGAGATTGCTAGCCAGTGAGTAACATTGAACGGCCGTGTACATCGTTTTGCCATTACGCCCAATTGTGTACATCGTTTCGTGTACGTCAAATTTATTACATCGGTTTTTTGTATTGCATCAAAGGCCCTCGAGTACATCGCTCATCGTTATATTACACAACCGATGGATTGACCTATGTGCAGCTGTTTCGATGTAATATTCAACAACTTTTTTTTGCTGTGTAGTTTCATCTAAATTTTATTTAAGCATAGAGCTTCTGAACGGGCTTATAAGTATATCTATTTGATGTTAAGTTTGATGTAGGTTAAAAACTCACCAAAAAACTGCTTCACCGGAGCCATCCGCCTTTCGTGGACCAAGATCATTAAGTGTTGCGAACAATGGGAAGTACACAACCGAGAATGAAACATCACGTAGCATAGTGGCACCTGTGCCCTTGTATAGTCCTGTAATTCCCTTTGTTCTAATTAACTCTAACGCAATTTGAGTTGCCGACGTTTTGGGTACAGTCTTGCCTGCTTCTTTGGCCTATAAATAAAAGAGATACCTTATTACTGGAATAGTAGCGTTACGTTCACACATTAAAAAAAAATAAAATAAATATTAAGAAATCATAAATCTATTACGCGATTACTGACCAACGTGCATTTATGGAAATCAATTTGTGTAGGTATCTAAAGGTTATCTCCAGGATGTCATACAAAAATTGAATATTCTTATATTTTGTCATGCTTGTTGTGACATTGCAAAAAAAATAGGAATTATTTATCTGCTTCTGGCTATGCTCATGGATTACTTGTCAATAGAATGGATTTTGTGAGAAAGTTGCTGAGTACAAACTCTTTGAAGTGCTATTTAATTCGGCCCTAGCTTGACGGCCTTGGTGGGGAGCGTTTTAACCATATACACTCAGGTCTTTTTTTACACGGGGGATACGTACCGTGTAAAAAAAAACCGTGTGAAAAAAACCTACGAGATTTTGACTTTTCACATGCTTAAATGTTTTAAAAAATCAGATTTTGATGCCATTTGTAATTATAGCATGCTATGGTCCATACAGACATATTTTAAAAATTTCTGTATTTACACCAAAAATCGTGATTTTTTTTCTTCTAAGAATGCCATTCGATTACCTATAGCTTGAAACGGATAATGTGATTGGAATCAAGTCGATATGTTGTACCGTTGTCGAGAAATCGTTAAA